AAATGCCCACTGAGAATATCATCAAGAGAGGCAGAGAAATTAAGTCGATCGGTGAATAAAAGACCTTGAACGTCGACGTATAACCTTTCTATTAAGAATCAACACACATTGAACAAAGGGATGTTTTCAAAACGAATCATTAACATTTTCATTCCTGAATGACACTGTTTTAATAACTTCGGCGAGAGGCACGTAAATATACCTTGAATTTTGAGACAGACAGCAAGGTCTGAAACTTGACAGCAAATTAAGCTGATTTTAAAAACTTCAGCCAGAGGGAAAAGGAAAAATTTATTGTGCTGGGCAACGAATACGGAAAATAAATATAACAAACATCTCCCAGGCGGTGAGCGAAGAAAAATGATAATTGGTACACTGGGATGGTTGTCCAATATTTTAATCTCAAGGGCTGTTTGCGTTGAATAAAACATCGGGCATGCAAAAACGCTACCTAGTAGCGTTTTCGCAGCAGTATTGATTGCATAAAATAGAAAGTTTGTTCAAAACCCTGATTTACTTTACCTTGAAGCATACTTCGATACGCGTTGTCTGTTATGGCGTAAATATGAGGAGGTACTTCGTGTCGCTTCCTTCCACGATACATGTCCACTACTTTGTCCGTGTAAATAGGTAAGCGTTTGTAAGGGTTCACAACGACACAGAAAAGACCTGAGTACGTCTGTGAAAAAGAATCAATCAATAGTTAGCGCTTACAACTGCAACGATTGAATGAAGTAGTCGTGTGAAGCAGATACTTGCACACTAAACTTCCGGTGAGACCAATGACTCAAATCGCCATGTTATAACAAAGTATTACTACTACAAAGCCAACCAATAGAGCCAAAAATAATAAATCACTTACATAGATAAGTCCAGAGAAGTATCTGTCTTTCAGATTGTGCAACACGCTAGCTTCGTTCAAACAGGTCAAGTCAGCCATGTCTTCCACCTTCTCAAATTTGGGTGGGTTCATTCTTTGAATGTCATCCTTGTTCACAGTCTTTCGTTTTCCTCCTTCTAATTCGACAACCACTGAGTCTTTCTTATCATCTTTCACGCTTGCAGCCACAAATCCATGTTCGTCGTCAGGAATCCACACCAGCTTCTTCGCTGACCATTTGGCTTGGGCCGCTGGATCAGCAATGGCTGCCCGATCGACGGCCAAATATTTCATTTCATTCTCCATGTTTTGATGAGCGTTTAAATCCGAGCCGAGCTCAGCAAACAACACTTTAAACTTATTTTTCGATACCAAAGAAGCCGTGCTTTCCAAACCGATCTCCAACAAAGGCAAAATAAAGAAAAACCCACCAATTGCGATAATTTCTGAACGAGTCCTTAAGGAACTTACTCCGACGAGATGTGTCGGCCTCACCCCCGTGACATGACGTCAACACTTTTTCCTGATTGGTCGAAGCGAACGTACAACATTTCAAATTTTCGTCGTACAGGACAAATTTAATCCGAAATAATTTAACCTCCTTTCAACATTTCATATTTTTTATTGCCTCAATGAGTAATCATCCAACAGTTTTTAAACTAGAAGTAAGAATAATATCGGGGTTTTCGGCCTGTTTTAGGCGAGTTTCAATACTTTTTCCTTACGTTAAACTTCATTGCGTTACTTTCAATGTTATGCTCCACTAGCTTCTCTACTCATCCGAGAACCACGTACAGACACACCTACGAAACTCAGAGAGAATAGTTCTCGATTTGCATCTTCAAAAAGAGATAAACCATCTGTACGGATTATCGAGTAGGGAAAGGAAAGCAAGCTGTAATGAAGTATCTCTTGCACAAAAATTACAAGAAATATCGAATGAAAAATCGCAGAACCACGATTTATCGCGATCGGAATTCGAACAATTTTCGTGTTCGTATCCTTCCGTTTTAATTCGAGGTATTTCAATCACGAAAAATATTTTTGTTAATATTCATGAGGCAATTCAGTCGACCAAGGACCTCAGAAGGAAAAGTAACAGTTGTTTTACCGAATTTCAAGTCACCAGACCTGAAGTTATGTGTTCTTGGCCGATGACCATTTATGGCCATGGAGATGTCGGAAGAACTGCTTAGGTCATGTCATTAAAAAAACAAACTGGGTAGGGTTTTCCGGCCTTTGGTCTAAATTACTCCAATTATCGTTATAATATCGATTCTCTGAATACGACTCGATCACCAAGACAAAGGGTAAAATAATTCACTAAGTAAAACTATTTCTACAATTATGTGACGTTGTAAGGAGAGAATACTTTTACTCAATGTTCATATCCGGTCGGAAACTGTTTTATGCTTCATCGCGTGCCAAAGTGAACGGATAATCCTTCGAAATCCAATAAGGCAAGAATTTCTTAGACCAAAATTTGGATTTATGAAAGACTGTCGACGAAAATAAATTAAAGGAAATTTTGATTGATGTATTGACAAATACTGAAAGCTGTTAAACAGAAAGCACAGAGAAATTCGAAATACACCCGTTTCGATGAAACTGGTAAGTGTCTGGAAAGTTTCCAGACACGTCGGACAAAATTACGAATCCTTCAGTCTGCGATGTACGTGTTCACAAGCGGAAGATTAAGAGGGCCAGGGTCGTGCTCACTCACTGTCAAAATGGTAATGTGTAGGTCCAACATTCGATCCGGAAAAAAATTAGGCACGTCTTCCAAAAAGAAGAGAATGTCTCTTTGGATAATAACAGTTACATTTTAACGCAAGAGTAGATCTTTTTGACAGTATGTTACGAAAAAACAAACAAAACTGATGATCATCATGCATCACCGTCTAGTTTTACAGACTTTTTTGGAAAAAACAAATATGGAAAAAATCTACAAAATATGGGGGATAGGAGGTCGGAGAGGTCTGGAGAGGAATCAGACACCTCTACTTATTGCTGGTCTACAATTTCTAGTGTATAATATTTTTCTGGTCTTGAAAGAGGAAAATTTTATGAGAACAACCAGGAACTGAAATAGTCACCGAAAAAGGTGAATTGGCGATTTAATTTTCTCCTATAGCCTTCAAATCTTGTTCCAGTCATGCATATCCCACTTGTGAGAATTCACTTCCGCTACTAAACGCAATCGTTCAAAGGTAAGCCATGAGATCACGTCTTACCTTAAATTCGAGTTTCACAATGAAACAAAACGTAACTTGTTACAGGTCAGTATATCACAGTTTTCGTCAATGGCTACATCCTGGCAATATTGTTCTCTAGTCTTTTAAAGACAAGGCTATAGCTAAAAGTTATAATTCGATATAAGAAAAGAAAGTTTACACTGGCCGAAATGGGAGAGCGAGAAATCTCTTTCCTGCCTCACGTTAGAGTTATTTGAACGAGAATAATTTCTGTTTACCATTTCTGGGCCCCCCAGCACTTAGGCTAGTATCACCTCTCTCTGAACTGAATACCGAGCTGCTCACTATCATACTACTTCGGCACCTTTGAAGCGTTGCTTTTGCTTCTCTCCCACATTGAGTATCCTATAGACTACGAGCAGTCCCTCCTTTTCGGCGAAGTCCGTCCCGCGGCGCGCAAATATCAATTTTTTTTTCATTGATTTCTTTAACTCGCGCGAAGGATTTTGCTGAAAAGGAGGGACTTCTCGAAGTCCAAGTGACTCATGATCTTGGCTCAGGCCGATCATAATCACCCGGTGTGAAAGTTCAGTCAATGAAAAATCACACTACAACGCTCTTCCACAAACGAAATTCGTCTAAAGAAGAACGAAAAGAAGAGAAAACAAAGAGGAGGCCAAGAGTGGGTGGCACATCTCTAATAGGAACACTCTGAGAAGGGTCTCAATCGGGTTAACCGTTAACCGTGAAACGACCAAAAACTTACGTTGTTTGGAAAAAAATTGGTATAATTTAGCCATAAGCGGTGAAAAAAGTTGACCGGATTAAAATATTTCCCGTGAGAATAACTGTGCTAGTTCGCGATCATTTCCTTTGAGCCCGCAGAATCGGCGTAATGTTTTGCGTTTTCAAGTCAAACGGAGGCAAGCGCTATGAGAGCGCAAAGCGCGAGTTACGAAGATAGCAGCTCCTCCCCTCGCAAGTGACTCGTACTTTGCGCTTGCCTAGCGCTTACTTCCGTTTGACTAAAAAACGTTAAAAAAAACAAAACACGTCTCTTCTGTAGGCTAATTTCCTCTATTCTCATGACATTTAAGTGTGACTTAGCAATAACACTGTAGGAAGAAATCATATGGTAGTCACTCGAAGGGTTTAAAGTGTTAAGCTATATTGTCATTCACTCTGACGAGGGGCTAACGCTCGAAACATCAGTTTTAGAAACTCTTCACGGTGGCCAATTTACATTATCAACTCAGTTGATAAAATATAAGTTTGAAAAAAAAGCAAACTATGATGATGCTCCTTTTACACGAAAAAAAAAACTATCGGTGAGACTGACTTGAAAATGAAATGAAATTTAATACAACTACAGAGTAGAATTGATCATTTACAGGTACAACAATAAAAGTCACACAAAATATATTCATATTCGTGCTACATTACTCCTGGGTAATGTTCCCTCGAAATCCAAGTAGATTCTCGAGGTCTGTAATCATAACTTGTCCAATTACCACATTTAAAGTTCCTAAAAAAGCCTCTTCTTCTTCCCGTCTAGTATCCAAGAGAAAATGTCCGAATGGACATGACGTGCATGAGAAGATTAGTTTATGCACGGGATACTCTCTCTGGAAGAACAATCCAGCACTTTCAAGCGCGGGTTCTCAGGTCAACAGCGAGGCAGGGGGTGGGGAGGGGGGGGGGG